CAGAGCTGAGGGAGCCCAGGGCTGGGCTAGCAGGGGGCTGAGGGTCGGGAGTGAGGGGCACCGGCAGAGCTGAGGGAGCCCAGGGCTGGGCTAGCAGGGGGCTGAGGGTCGGGAGTGAGGGGCACCGGCAGAGCTGTGGGTGGGGGAGCCCAGGGCTGGGCTAGCAGGGGGCTGCGGGTTGGGACTTAGGGGCACCGCAGAGCTGGGGAGGGAGGCCGGGGCTGGGATAGCAGGGGCTGTGGGTCGGGACTTAGGGGCACCGCAGAGCTGGGGGTGAGTCTGGCTCCCCATTGGGTAACGGGTTGTTTCCCCGGCGTTGGCATGTCAATATCTCGACCCTCCCCGGGGAGCAGCCCCTTGTGGGGGAGGTGCTGGAGGTGGGACCTTGGCAGGGGAATATCAGTGCCTGGGGGAGGAGGGCATGCCCCAGCACCCCCCTGCCTCCTTCCCTGGCGGGGCTGGTGCTGCGTCCCGTGGCAGAGCCTGGCGGCCGGGCCTGGGGCCCACGGCCTGGGGAGAACAAAGGGCGGATTGTGGGGAATGAGGAGCCGACGGGGCCAGAGGGGAAGCAGGTGGTCCTGTGGTCTGTCACGGTTGCCCTGCCCCCTCGCTGCCTGGCCCCTGCGTGCTGCCAGCTGGGGGGCAGCCAGGCCTCCTGGAGGGGAGGGGCACTTGGGGGCAGTGGCCATTCCACCCCTGCAGGGCCCAGCAGGCTGCCTGGGTGGGGGCCGCGGCCTGGCGCGACCAGGGGACATGCGCAGGGGGAGTCTTCCTGCTCCCAGGCAGCCTGGGGCGGGGCCGATGCTGATCCTGCCATCCCAGGGGCGCCTCCCCACCCCACTGCGCTGCTCCTGGCCCGGCCCAGGGCTGGGGTGCCGGGCTCCGTCCCTGGCTCTGCCGCTAGCCCCCTGGGGTGCATTCCTTCCCTGCTCTGTGCCTGTCCCCAGCGTCCGGGTCAGGGAGGCCGTGGGCACTGGGGGTTCCCTGTACCCAGCCTCCAGGCGCCCCCCTAGTGCCCAGCCCCTCCTCCAGACATGGGCTCCCACCCCGGCAGGTTGGTCCTCTGTCCGCTCTCCTGACCCTTCCTGACTGCCCCGCCCAGCTCTTGGGCAGCCAGCGCCTAGGGGCAGGGCCCGCCTCGGTGCCCCCCACAGCTCCAGGGCTGGGGGTCCCTGGGAGGCGGGTTAACTCTGGCATCTGGTGAGACAAGGTCCCACTGCCAGGGGGCACGTGCCCGACCGAATGCCGGGGTTGTGCCCAGGGGACCCCAGGACGCAGCAGGGAGCTTCTTAGAGCAGCTGTTGACCCTTGTCCCGGCCCTCCTCATTCCCGGTGTCACGGAGTGAGGGGGAGTCAGGGCCCTGCACCCCCCACTTCCTGCGCTTCCCCGGGACTCTCAGGCAGCCAGTAACACAACGGAACACAGTCAAAGCAGGGCTTGTAGGTACAGAAAACAGGACCCCTCAGTCAGGTCCATCTTGGGGGGTGGGGAGCCCAGACCCAGGTTCTGCCCCCCCGTCTCCCTAGCCAGCTCAAACTGAAACCCCTTCCTGCTCCCTCCCCCAGCCACCCCTCCAGCCTTTGTCCAGTTTCCTGGGCAGAAGGTGTCACCTGGCCCCAACCCCCACCTGGGCTCAGGTTACGCAGGGCAGCCGCCATCATTACGTGCTCAGGTATCATCCCTCAGTGACGTCACCCCCTTATTTCCCATCCCCATCTCGTACTGGTGCAGCACCCCAGGGAAACTGAGGCACGCCCTGTGTTAGCAGAAGAGAGTAAACTAGTAAAACTCCCAGGCCCCATTCCCAGGTTAACACTCCCCAGTCCCTTCTCTGTCATCACACCCGCCTAACCCACCTGTCTCTTCTGCAGGGCCCTGCTGGAGGAGGAGTGCCGGGCCCTGGAGAGACACATCTACCACCTCCAGGTAGGACCCCTGGGATGGCGGGATCAGCAGGGGGCATCGGCCCCGCCCCGGGCTGCCTAGGAGCAGAGAGTATCGGGGTAACCATGTTAGTCTGTATCTACAAAAACAACAAGGAGTCTGGTGGCACCTTAAAGACTGACAGATTTATTTGGGCATAAGCTTTCGTGGGTAAAAACCAAACTGCATCTGAAGAAGTGAGGTTTTTACTCACAAAAGCTTATGCCTAAATAAATCTGTTAGTCTTTAAGGTGCCACCAGACTCCTTGTTGTTTTTCTAGGAGCAGAGAGTCGCCCCGCCCTGAGCCACCCTGCGCACCTCACCAGGCCGGGGCCCCCACCGGGGCGGCCTGTTGGGCACTGCAGGGATGGACTTGCCCTGCCCCCAGGGCTGGTGTGTGCAGGGGGAGGGCTGCTGGCAGGCGCCGTGCCTGGCACTGAGCTGTGGGATCAGGGTCCAAGGGAGCCCTGTGGGGGAAGGGGAAGTGGCCCCATTCTAAGGGTCAGGAGCCAGGCCCCGGGCCGGGCCCTCGGCCCAGACGCCTCAGCCCTGCCCTTGGCAGCTCCTCTCCTCTCCTCTCCTCTGTGGGGCGCTGGCTGTGAGGTCCCGCAGGTTTCCTCTGTTAGAACAAGGGGCCCCCTGGCAGGAGCCGGGGGATTGTGGCCTTTCCAGGCCTCTCCAGCTGCCCGTGCCAAGGCTGCCTTGGGCAGGCCCTGGCTCACAGCCCTTCCTGGGCGTGCCGCTCTTCTCCCATGGGCACTGGGCAGGGAGCGTGGGTCACTCACCAGGGCCCGTTGCTCTTGGAGGGTCCTGTGCACACAGCTACTGATGCGGCCGGGCCGGGCGAGTGGCCCCAAGGGGCCCGGCTGCCCACAGGCACTGCTCCCAAAAGCTGGAGGGTGCTGCTGTGAGTCGGTGACTCCTCCCAGCCTGGCTGAGGGCCGGGCCCAGGCCTTGGCCAACTCCCATCCCCTCCTGGCTGCAGGCGGGAGCTGGAGAGACGCTCCAGGGCAGCGGGCAGGGCGGGTGGGTCCAGCTCCCAGCACCTCCCGGAGCAGGGCAGGCTCCTGCCAGCCTGGGGCAGTGAGGGGAAGGGTCCTCAGAAGGGTCCGTGCTGCCCACGGGGGGGGAAGGGGGTCCCTGTGCTGGCACCGCAGGGCACCGAGCCCCAGCATGTCCTGCGGGAGCTCGGCTGGTACCTTTCGGACGCGGGTGGCACCTGGCCGTTGGATTGCCCCGGACTGGTGC